AGTTATGGGCACCAAAGTGACCACGCCAAAACCGACTTTTTAACGCGTGAATTGAAACTCGATTTGAGTATCCTATCTTGTAGAGCGTCCCTTGAAACCTCTAAAAATATATACTTTGTTGGGGGTACACTTGAGTCTGGGAAAGATATACTCAAAAAAGTGGCATTTTTGGGGCCAAAAGTGGTCGGTTTTTTGAGTATAACTCCGCGGAAAAAATTTTTAAAAATAAACGGACTTTAGATTCGTGTTCAGCACCTATTGGAGCACCATAAAACATATTTTTCTCGAGGTCGAATTTTTGACCCATTTTTGGAGTGGTACGCCTTTTGAAATTTTTTGGTAAAATTTAAATTGGGCATAACTTTGTAAGTTTTTGTCGTATCCAAACGAATTAAAGTTTATAAAATAGAGCAAAAAATTACATATTTTTTGAGCTATTTAAATTTTCGAAAAATTTCACGCAAGGCCTGGTAGGGTCGATTTTTTGAAAATTCAAAATTTTTCGGTTTTTTGAAATTTTCTGGGGTATATCGAGGTGAGGGTGGTTAAAAATATTTTTATAAAATACTACAGAACATTTGCTATATATTAAGCTTTTAAAATGTTTAAAAGGGTAACTTTTTGGAAAGTTATGATTTTTTGAAAAATTCGTTTATTTTTCCGGCCAAAATTTTCGGCCAAAAAAATTTTTTTCCCAAAATAGGTATAAATGGGTCAAATGTTATATCAATCGAAAGCTCTCATCGAGCTGAGCTTAAAAATATTTTTTGTAAAATTTTCTGACCATTTTGTACAAAGTTACAAAAGGTCGAATTTTCGGGGGTGGGGGTTTAAGGGCCTAAGGCCCCCAACGGTGCGAGGGCCGAAGGCCCGAGCTTAAGATCCATCCCAAAACGAATTGCGAGAGCTGAAGGCCAGAGCTTAAGACTCATCCCAAAACGAATTGCGAGAGCTGAAGGCCAGAGCTTAAGACTCATCCCGAAAGGAATCGCGAGGGCCGAAGACCCGAGCTTAAGATCCATCCAAGATGGATCGCGAGGGCCGAAGGCCCGAGCTTAAGATCCATCCCAAAATGGATCGCAAGGGCAGAAGGCCCGAGCTTAAGATCCATCCCAAAATGGATCGCAAGGGCAGAAGACCCGAGCTTAAGATCCATCCCAAAATGGATCGCAAGGGCGGAAGGACCGAGCTTAAGATCCATCCCAAAATGGATCGCAAGGACAGAAGGCCCGAGCTTAAGATCCATCCCAAAATGGATCGCGAGGGCCGAAGGCCCGAGCTTATGATCCATCCCAAGATGGATCGCGAGGGCCGAAGGCCCGAGCTTAATATCGATCTCAAAACGAATTGCGAGGACCGAAGGCCCGAAGCAATGAAAAGGCAGGGCTAAATTTTATCGGCGAGGGCCGAAGGCCCTGAACAATGAAAAGGAAGGGCTAAATTTTATCGGCGAGGGCCGAAGGCCCGGAGCAATGAAAAGGAAGGACATATCTTAATGTTTCTAGCAGCGCGCGAAGCGCGCCCCAAAGCCGTTAGGCTTTCCATCGGGCAGAGCAAAATTCAAACCCGAAGCAAAATTAAACTGCCAGAGTATGCTATTCGCCGCCATACCCCAATGGGCACAACTAGTTGAAGAAATAAATATTTTTATATTAAATTTTATTTTCATGACATTTTCAGTTGGTAATGCTTGCTAGTTTATTTTTAGATAATTTTTAACACATTTTAATTAATTTGCGAAAAAATTTATTTAAGAAATCCTTCGATAAATGCATTTGAATGTTTTGCCCAGCCCTATTAATAACTAAAATCTTTTTATTCTTAGACAATTTGTACTTGAGGCATGTTATTTTTTCTAATACTCTTTCGTTCTCCTCATTTAGTTGTTTCTCACTTTTTTTAATAAAACTACAATCGATTTTAAATAATAAAATTTAGGAGAATTGGGATTTTTCCTATTAGGTCGCGCAATAATTAGCCGCGTATTTTTTATAGACATATTTATTTCAAAATTTTCTGAAAATTTTTTTTATTTTTATTACGAATCATTTATTAGTGTATTTTCTAAAGGATCCCAGCATTTCAGAATTTTTGGGTAGGTATTCAGGGAGTTCTGATCGAAAATGTCAAAATTTTTGAAATCATCGAAAATCAAATTTTCTCAAGAATATGTAATGATAATAATTAGTGTAATATATCATTCGAAAGCTCTTCAGATGCTCTATCAGCCGAGCTCAATTTCGAATTTTTATTAAGAAAGGTCTAAATTTTCGAAAAAGTCGAATTTCGAATTCCGGAGTTCGACACGACTTACAGACTTTATATTTCGGATTTAGTATAAGCCCTATGTTATTTAAAAAACCGTTTAGATCATCCAGATCGGATGATTTTACGCTGAGTTCTAAGAAAACGTTTTTGGGGGGGGGGGGATGTCGTGTCGTTTGTTTCATTTTTGAAATGTGAGTACACGCGGCATTTGATTTACTCTCCTTAAGCGCAGCCCGCGTTTTTTCAGTCAAGCGTTGCTGTATGTATAGAGCAGATATCCCTCGATAATTCAGCAGTAGAAATTACCGGATTCCATCTAAGCCGGCCGAGCAGGACCGTTTTCTTTATGAGACCTGTCTCCCTCGACCATGTTTGCTTCTGAGAGTGATACGGCCTTCCTCTTATAGCCTGAACCCTATTCTTTGCTGTCTAGCATAGACAACGAACCCATTGACTAGATCATTAACATTATTTGCTTCTTTTGTTGCATTTTAGGTAAATTAAAATTTTTGGGTTAAATGCTTGTGAATTTCACTACGAGGTAGTGAAGTTCAAAAATTATAACTTTAAGAATATCACCCATATATAACTAAACCTGGTATTAAAATGAAGAGCAGATTCGGATCTTTATGTTGATTAATAAGTTGAAAGAATACTTGTAAAATAACACTCTGAAAAATATGATTGAAAAAATACGCGGCTAATTATTGCGCGACCTAATATTTTTTCTTTCTTAGATTACTAAAATCAAAATGTTTTCTCTTCCAACTGAAGTTCAACTTGATATATTAAAATTACTTAATTTCAACCAATTATTCTCTGTTAAACTAACTCATTTTTATTTTTGCAATTTAATCAATAAATATGAGGGGGAATTGGCACAAATTAAATTTTATCAAATTTCAATAGTAAATATATAAATTTTTTTTTATTTAAATTAATTTTAGATTGAGCCCAAATCTCTTCGAAAGTTAAATCCATATAAATTCATTAAACCTAAATTCGAAATTTTTGAATTAACGATAAGTGATCAACTTAAAGAGAAGGTTAATAAATTAATTTTAAATTAAATTAAATTTTTTTTCAGTGGCAAAGAGCTATAGACAAATCAATTCCTTTGTTCTTGGATAAATTCAACAGTCAATTATTTGTTGGGTTAAAGACGACAGGTATAAAAAATTATTACATTAATTTTATCAATTTTCTGAATAACGTAGAATAACTTTTTAGAATAGCATAGGTCTCAATTTGCCAAATAATTTTTAATCATTTTTCTATTTAGGGGACAGAGGATCTACTTATATCTTAGAATTCCCAAACCTTCCAAGAAATATTCGAGAAATGAGTATTGCTCGTTGTTGGATCGAAGTTCTTTTTAATTGTTGTTTTGGACGTGCTCATTTTGATAAGGCTGTATTTAATCCAGAAATGGTCAATATATTATTTGATAACGACAAAACAATTCCTCTTCTTAACATTAATCATTTATATCTTTCTGCTGGCAATAGAATATGTGAAAATTTGGTGGTCATTTTAGATAATTTAGTAATATCTAAATCTTTTGCGATGTCTTTGAAAGATGTTGACATTCCAGAGCAATATATAGATATTTTATTTGATATTTTAATAAATAAAGGCGATAGATTACATGCCGTTAATTTTATGTTTAAATGTGAATTGCCACAACTTTATGATCTTATTGTTGAAGTAAGTTATCCAGTCTTTTTTAAATTATAAATTTTTATAAAAATTTTAGTATATAACAACATCTAGAGACTTTTCAAAAATTGTGCCTGATATTAGTTTACATCACTTTGGAAAAACAGAATTTAAATTAAGTCAAAGAGCTGAAAACTTTCATATCAATGACTTTGGGGTTATAAAATATACATATTACCAAATAGCCAATATTCACAATCCAAAGGAAAGATTTTATTTTTCTACTGCAGAAACAAAATTGAAAGATACTGCTTCAAGTTTATGGATAAAAAAGCATAATTGATAATTCGTTTCTCGAACAGTAAAATTTAAAAAAAGGATTGTTCTCATTTATTTTTTGGCAATACCGGAGAATTGGGGTCCCTGCGGAATCGGAGCTCAAATTCGTAATCAGCATATTTTTTACTCTATAAAAATTCTTTTTCTTATTTTCAGGACCCCAATTCTCCTGGATTGACTATTTTTTCGATTAAATCGTTTTCTTTGTTTTTAATACAATTTTTGAAAAATTATTCTTTGATAAAATACATATAAAAATTTTCTTTGTAGTCCGACAGAAAGCCCTATTTACTTTTATCAATCAAATACTTTTCTTTGCCACTCTGTATGAGTAATCCAAACTTTATTCATTTTTTCATAAATTTTAGCATATTTGAAACGTTCAAAGATTGCTATTGTGACTGACTAGTATTAGACACGAAATAGATAAGCAAATTTTAAATACAAAATTATATCTATTTTTGGCTATATTTTAAAATGAGGAACAGTGTTTGGTATTAGCTTTAGTATAAAAGCCTTTCTTTATTAGTCAGGGCCGGAGAGTTTATTTTGTTTCCAGCAACATATTCTGCGCAATAGCTATATTTTTGTTTATTTTATTTATATCGTGATAAGCTCAGTTTTTTAGTTATTGTCTTACCTAGATAATTCGTTTTTAGTTCTAATAAGCTGTGTCGATTTTCAAATAATTTTTAAAATTAATTTTTAGTGTCTTATTAAATTTTCTTCGAAAAATGTTTTCTTCATTACCAGCGGAAACAAAACTGGACATATTTAAATTCCTCAATTATCAACAATTATGTTTAGTTAAACAAACAAATTTGTATTTTCGCGAATTTATTGATAAATATGAAGGAGAATTTGCTCGGGAGAAATTTTATGATATTTCTATTGTAATGTTTTTTAGTCAATTTAATTTTTAAAAATTTATTTAAGGTTTATTTTGATCAATATAAAGGACGTCTTCATACTCACAAATTAATTAAACCCAAAATTGAGAATTTTGACTTTCCACTGAATGAACGATTTGAAGAGAAGGTAAATAGTAGATTAAGATATTTCAAAGTAGTAATTTTCTTTTAGTGGAAACATGGACTAGAAAACCCAATTCATTTGTATTTATCTAATCGATATTCTGACAAAAATGCTTTTTGCTTAATTAAAGGTTAAATTTTAAGTTTTTAAAGTCCATACTATCGCCGTAAGGGAAACATATCGGGCCGGACATTTCGGGATCCCGGTGTCAAAAATACATCGTGTGTTACATTAGTTCTAAAACATACCACTTCCTTCATACGGCAATGTACTAACAAAGACCCAGTAGCCGTAGGTGCCAAAATCAATATATTAACTATTATCAAATTTTAAGTTCGCGACTTTGAAGAACGTTATCTTCTACATCTACCAACCATTATTAAAAACAAAGATGACTTAAAAATTGTTTATTATTATTTAAATAAATTGTTTAATTGTTCTTTTCAACGTTGTTACTTCGGAGATTTTTTCTTCAATCCAGAATTGATTCAATTATTATTTGGAAGAGTTCCTAAACAATTTTATATTCAAGACTGCGACCTATTTATTAGTGCCTACACTATTCAAAATATATTTAAATTTATTCTGAACAATTTAGTTGGTGAACTTCTTCGTGTTGATTTTCTTTTAGATGATGACATTACGGAAAAATATATAAATATTTTATTTAAAATTATAATAAATGGAGACAAATTTAGAAAAATTAATTTGAAAATTTATATTTGTACAAGAAATTTTGATCGTAATATGAATGTAGCAACGCTTTATGATCAGATTGTCGAAGTAACCTATCAGAAAAATTAAAAATAAATTTAAATTTTCAGTATATGGCAACATCTAGTGACTGTTCAAAAATGATGTCTGTTATTGTTTTTGATTTCTCTACTTTCACAAGTCTTAGATTAAGTGAAAGGGCAGAAAAAGTTAGAATTCAACAATTGGATGATACAAAATATACAGATTACCAAATCGTCAATATTCACAATCCAAAAGTGAGATTCTCATTTTGCAATGAAGAAAAGGAATCATTTTCGGGTTTTGATGTTAAAATCGAAATAAGGAAAGAGCAGTATTTTGAAGTGGAAAATAATGTTTTTGATTTATCTGCCAACTACACAAATATTTTTAAAAAAATATTTCAATTCTTTTTTCATTTATTTTTTTGAATAAATTATGGTTTTATAATTATGGCATTTATTTTTAACTGGTTAAGGCCTGTTAATTTATTTTTACATCTTTTAAAACACATTTTAATAAACAGTTTGGCCCCTACTTTATTCTACTCCCTTGGGACTAAAGAATTGTACAGGATGTGGCAAATTAAGAGTAATTAATTTTTCTAGCCGTTCGGAATTACTTATCATTACTATTGATGAACCAAATTATCGATATTTGGTATAATCAAGTGTTAGGAATAAAATAAAAAAAGAATTATTGATTTTCGTCAATTTCGAAAAAAGTTATGGCAAAAAGAAAAAGTGCTCTAAATTTGCCGCACCCTGTATATTATTGTCTTAAATTGGGTTCATACTTAGACAGTTCTTCCCTCCCACCTAATGGTCAATCAGATTAAAAATCTAAAAAATTTTCTACTTTTAGTTTGTTTAAAACAAAGAATTTCGTTGTGTATTGGCTTTAATATAAAACTATTGTAATATTTTTTAATTAAATTTTTGAATATTAAAAAATTATTAATTAAATTTTTAACAATTTTTAAGAATTATTTCGGTCGATACAAACAGACTCGTCATATTTAGGTTAAATCAGAAACTAGAAATTTTGACTTTGCCTTATTTGATAAACAACATAAAGAAATAAGTGAACAATTTGAAGAAAGGGTAAAGAAAATTAAAATATTTAAAGATTTCCTTTCTTTTTAGTGGACTAATGGAATTCAAAACCCGATTTCTTTGTATTTACCTGAGGAAGGTTCTCTAGGCTCCAATATTCTTTTTATCCAAAGGTTAATCTTTTAATTTTAACTAGAGCTAGGAACGGGTCCGGGACCCGGACCCGTTTCCCGGTTTCCGGGTCCCTTTTCCCGGTTTTTTTGAAGCAACCGGGTTGAAACCGGGAACGGGTTTTCCCGGTTTCCCGGACCCGGTTCCCGCCCGGTCCATTTTTCAAAACCCGTTACCCGGACCCGGTCCCGGCTTTTTTTTCACCGGGAAACCGGGAAAAATATTTAGTGTATTTGCGTACTTTGATATTAAATTTTTGAAGGAAAAGGGAAAGGAATATTTATAATTTCTCCATTTTGCTTTTGTTGGTCGATGGTTGAGTGGTTAAGTTGACTGACTTCACTCATCTAGTTATTTTGATAGGGATGGGGTTCGAGTCCATGTATGGAAATGGGGCTGAGAAATTTTCTTTTCAAAAATAAATAATTTTAAACTTTGATTTCAAATTTTAAAATTTTTTTACTGTTTTAATTTTGAAAAAATATTAGAAATTTCAATTAAATCATGAATTTTCCAAAATTTTCGCTGTGGCGCAGAAAATTTAAGAGTTTGGCTTCATTACATCTAAACTTCGAAAAATTTTTTCGCTGGCAGCTCTGACAATTGAATTCTTTTCTGCTAAGGCCTATCAAAATTCTCAAAATTTTCGCCTACGGCGCAAAAAATGGCGCAAAGAATTTTTAGTTCAATAGGATTAAAAAGAATTAAAAGGGATATCTAAGGATTCTGAAGGAATTAAAAGGAACTAACATTCTGAAGGAACTAACACATAACAACCACTCTGCCAACATATAACTCTGCCAACATATACACATATATTTTAGAGCCAATGCGGTAACTTACTTCAACAATTTGATCATAAAACATTGGCACATTTATAGCACAATCTAAATTTTCTGTGAATTTAGCAAACCTCAAATAAACATCTTTAAATTTGCCCCCATTTATTAAAATTTTAAATAAAATATTCGTATAATTTTTAATATCCGCTCTATCTCTAAGAAAATTAATTTGAAGAGTTTCACAAATTAAATGATTCAAAGCAAAGCTGATTAAATTTTGAATATTGTTTTCTACAATAGACAGATAGCATCTTTGAATATATAAATGTTTGGGAATTGAAGCATCTCAAATAATAATTCGATCAATTCTGGATTAAACACAAATTCATCAATATAGCCATATTCAAAACAACAATTGAATACTTTATTTAAATAATAATTAACAATTTTTAAGTCATCTTTGCTTTTAATAATTGTTTCTAATTGTAGTTGCCGGTGGTTTGTAAAGTCGTTAACTGAAAAGTTAATTTGAAGAAAATCTAGAAACTTTTCGAATAGTCCGTGCAGAAATTCCCCGACCCGAAAAAGTTTCAGAGGTCTCTATACGTAAATGATCCGGGGTACATACCAGGGGTGTGCGCGTTCTTTCGTCTTTTTAAAATCACTTTCGCCACACCACAGGTACAAACTATTTATTCACAAGCAACAATAAGTAGTCCCATATTACAGGGGTGTGCCAGTTTCGCCTTTCGCGGATTTTCGCGTTTTTTGGACTTTGGCCTTTCGTTTTTTTTAAATCTGTTTCGGCACACCCCTGCTATGTTACGCTTAAGGAACCGTTGACTTCTTCGAGGCGCGCGGCGCAAAGGTTATTTATGTACAAGCAAGCGTCTCGCCACTTCAATAGGGTTACTTTGAAAATAAATGGTTTAAGTTCCGAAATTTATCTTATTGCAGACGAGAAGCTCTTGAAAGTTTATTAAATAAAATTTAACCTTTTTTAGATAAACGACTAAAAATATTCTTCGAATTTTGATAAGGTAAATAGAAAGGAATGGGGTTTTCTAGTCCATTTTTCTTCAAAAAAGAAAAGAAACCCTTTGCATATTTTAATTTATTTACTTTCTCTTCGAGTTGTTCACTCAATGGAAAGTCAAAATTTTTGGATTTTGGTTTATTTAATCTATAAATATCTTTTTTGAATTGATTGATAGTGTGATCCTTTAAAAATATTTAAAAATTTAATTAAAAATTATTACAAAATGAATTATATAAACTTTCTCCCGAGCAAGTTCTCCTTCATAGTTGACAATAAAATCACGAAAATATAAATTTGTTTGCTTGATTGAAAATAATTCTTTATAGCTGAGCCACTTAAAAATATCAAGTTTTGTCTCCGTTGGTAAATAATAAAACATTTTTTCAGAAAAATTTAATATCTTTACGTGATCGCTGACAAACCGAGTTAAATAAAGATGAAAGAAAAGGAAATTTTAGGGAAAAAATATATAAAAAACATTTTCGTAATTAACAATTATTTTTTTAATAAGTTTAGAGTAAAAATATTTAATTTTTGCGCTCTTTTTTACTAAATTAACTTTCATATGTACGTAGCAGGGGTGGGCTGAGTCTCGTATCTCGTGTCTCGTATCTCGTGAAATCTCGTGTTTTTTAGAGGTCTCGTATCTCGTATCTCGTATTTTGCCACGAGACACGAGATATTTTCAATCTATTTGAGAAAAAATGTCAAAAATTTTAGGATTATTTTAAGATCCTAGAATTAGGAAAAAAGGGAGAAATCTTGCCCATTGGTCCTCCAAAATTCTCAAATTTTCGCCTGCGGCGCAGAAAAGGAAGAAATCTGGCTTGTTGCCTTCCAAAATTCTCAAATTTTTGCCTGCGGCGCTAAAGAGGAAGAGGGATAAAGTTGGTCAAGCGGGAAATATCGGTGGGCCTGAAGGGATAGAAGAATATCCTGTGATTTACTGGGATTAAGGTGAATTTAAAAAGATATGGGGATTCGGAGGGATATCTGGGAATCAATCAATTTTGATAAAGATCTTACAGGATACATCAGAATTTCAGGATTTTAATACAAAAATTTTTGCTTATAGATATCGGGATATTAAGGGATTTGATGTGATTTTTACGTAAACAGATACTAGGGGTAAAGGTATTTGGGTGGTAAGGGGAATAGAGGGAGTAAGAATTAAGTGGGATTGTTAGGATATCTGGATTTGAAGGGATATCGTGAGATTAAAGGTGATACCGGTTAATTAGGATTTGGTATCAGGGTGAGCCTTTACATTAATTGATATCCTTCAAATCACCAGAGAGTTAAAAAGGTTAGTTAGATGGATAGGCAAACGTGGATCCTTTTAAATTCCATGATATTCGCCGTAATCTCCGATATCTCAATAAATCACCTTGATCCTCTAAATCCCCAATATCCTTCATAATTCAGCTGTATTATATCAATATATCCATTTAAATATATTTTATATATCCATTTAAATATATTTTTTATATTTAAATATACTATCCATTCAAACCCGTATATTTTTGGCTTTACAATTTTAGATGTGTTTAATTTTGAAAAAAATACTTAATATCTCGTATCTCGTGGTCTCGTATCTCGTGAAATCTCGTATTTTTTGAGAGATCTCGTATCTCGTTTTATCTTGTTCTCGTATTTTTTGAGAATCTTGTATCTCGTGAATCTCGTGTCTCGTATTTTTTTGGACTCGGCCCACCCCTGGTACGTAGAGTATTTATCAAATATGTAGTATTGAAAAAAAATTTTAATTCTATGTACACAAGTTAATGTTGATATGTAACAAAAATGATTAGTGCGAAGAAGTGTGGTGTATTAAGAAATTATAACATTTCATAACCCCTTTGAATTTTTTGAGTTCTCAACAACAATGTTTTAATTTTCTGTAAAACTGCAAAAGATTGCTCATGTCGGAAATAGTGATTGATATTAGTAGATTACCTAATTAATTTTATCAATTTAGGTAAACATTAAATGCGAAAATGAAATAAATTATTTTTTAAATAAATATCACTTTCCAACAAATATTAACTAAAGATTAAATTTTTATTTTATTTAATATTTGTGGGCGAAAAAAAATTAAGAATATACATATTTTGTGGTTCTTCATAAATTAAGAAATACAACTTGAATTTTTATAAATATTTATATATCTTTCTTAGATAATCAAAATGATTTCTCTACCAATTGAAGTTCAACTTCGAATATTAAAATATCTTAATTTCAACGAATTAATCTCTGTTAAACAAACTAATTCTTACTTTCGCAATTTAATCACCAAGTATGAGGGAGAATTGGCACGAAGAAAATTTTATTACCTCTCACTAGTAAATAGTCATTAAATTAATTATATTTCGAATTTATTTTAG